TATTTTGCTACTATGAACTGAGAAGCCGGATAACAAATTGTAAATTGAAAGGAAAAATGACAGATTCTGTGCTTATGTATTTTGGGGGCTGGGGAAATGATGTTAGATCTTTTGGAATAAGGAGTGAGAACTGAAAAAAAAAAAAAAAAAAAAAAAACCAAAAAAACTGATTATGTCCGCAGGTTCTCTTGTTCTATCAGAGTGGGCAAGTGTTACTGCCAGGAGATGTGTCTAATGACACATGGAAAACACACTCAATATTTGAATTTCATAATTTCAGTTTTGGAAGATTAACAACTTTTTTTTTAACCTTTGTTCTTTCAAAGACGTTAGAATTGAAGTTTCCATTTATAAATCGGCATGTTAAATATATCTTTTGCAACATATTGAAGAATTTGCTCAATTTGGAAATTTTGGGAAAAAAAAGTCATGAAGAAAAATGGGCTGCCAGTGGGTGCTCTGGTACTCAGTGCTCTGCATCACAGGGTCCACCCCCTCAGCATGGCTGAGCTGTGGTCAGGGGAGCTCAAGTGTCCTACGCAGGCCAGGACTGCTGAGAAATTCCAGAGCACCTTTGCAGAAAGTGTGGATATTTCTCAAAGAGGCCCCATCTGAGCTTTAACCTTCTGAGGTTTCCTATGGGAGAATAAGTGTGAAAGTGAAAACAGACATTGTGGGAAAGAAATAGGTTTCTCTGCCCAAACTGGGAGATGGTTCTGACTCTGTTGGCTATTTAGAAACTCTACAAAATCTGTTGATATTTTAAAGAAAATAAGAGATGATTTATGATGATACCAACGTTGCCCAAGCAGATCATGGGAGAGGAAAACGGCTTCTACACAGAGCATATTGCAATAAAGCAACAGCAGGGCACTGGGGGGCACCATCAAGTGAAATGACTTCACTCATTAGCCTTAACTACTCCCCATCACCATCCCAACCAAAGGCCTTGGTACCTTCTAGGGCTTGGTGTAAAGGGATGCAGAAGGCCTGAGCCTTCTCTGTCTCCCACCTCCCTCCCACTCTGCCTCTTTCTGATGACTGTGATTGAATCTGGCCTTGGTTTTAGATTTCTGTTGGTTAAGGTGGGTGTGCAGGTATTGTACTGGTTGCTTGTGTGTGTGTGTCTGGATGTGTGTGGGGGTGTGCCACCTCTGTGTGTTTAAGTGGTGGCAATGGAGGAAATAGTGCAATGAGGGGAGGCAGTGAGTTTTTGGGAAACAAAAAATGTAATAGAGGTGAAGCAGGAGTGATCCTAATCTTATCTCCTCCTATGAATACACCTAGATGACACCCACATTAGTGTAAATAACCCAGAAAATGACTTGAAGACTTGCAGAACAGACTCTCCACAGTTAAATGTAGGAAAAAGGACACATTGAAGAAGATAAGAAGGGCAGAGATATAATTGGGAGCCAAACTGGCCCACGAGACTGTCAAAGGGAGGCAGGGATGCCACAAGCATGGAGTAGAGAGAAGAGCAGATCCCACACCAGGTACCTCATGCACGGGAGACCTGTACTGGGGAGATGAATCTCCATAACATTTGGCTTTGAAAACCAGAGAGGCTTAATTTCTCAAGTTCTTAAAGTCAGTGAGGCTTAACACCTGGTACTTTAAAAATCAGCAGGCTTAGGGGCACCTGGCTGGCTCAGTCGGTTAAGCGCTCGACTTCGGCTCAGGTCATGATCTCACAGTTCGTGGGTTCGAGCCACATGCCGGGCTCTGTGCTGACAGCCAGCTCAGAGCCTGGAGACTGCTTCAGATTCTGTGTCTTGTTCTCTCTCTGACCCTCCCCTGCTCACGCTGTCTCTCTCTCAGAAATAAATAAATAAAACATTAAAAAAATTAAAAAAAAATATCAGCAGGCTTGGCTCTGGTGAAGCCAGAGGACGACAGCATAACAAAAAACCAGCACTAAGATACAGCACAGAAATAGCAGTAAGAAAGATGCCTGGGGTGAATGGGAGGGACATTTGTTTGCTAACCTCAGGGTCTGTGTTACAGGGTCAGGGATCTTTGGGAGACTTCTCCAAGAATAAAGGACTTGGCAGGCGCCATTTCCCTATCCAGTCAGTCCCCCAGCCTGGATACACAGGTGCCTGAGGGAACCAATGATCAACATCAGTTACCATCAGGGAATGCAGATCAAAACTACATTGATACATCATCTCAAAACTTTCAGAAAGACTAAGATCAAAACCACTAGAAACAGCAAGTGTTGGTAAGGATATGGATTGAAAGGAACCCTCATGTTGGGCGCCTGGGTGGCTTAGTCGGTTAGGCGTCCGACTTTCGCTTAGGTCATGATCTCGCGGTTCGTGGGTTCGAGGCCCGCGTCGGGCTCTGTGCTGACTGCCAGCTCAGGGCCTGGAGCCTGTTTCAGAGTCTGTGTCTCCCTCTCTCTCTGACCCTTCCCTGTTCACGCTGTCTATCTCTCTCTCTCTCCTAGAAATAAATAAACAAATTAAAAAAAAAAAAAAAAAAGAAAGGAACCCTCATGCATCATTAGTGGGAATGCAAACTGGTGCAGCCACTGAGGAAACAGATTGGAGTTTCCTCAAAGAAAAATATAAATATAATTACTATAAGATCCAGAAAACTCCACTTTTGGGTATTTAGCCAAAGGATATGAAAACACTAATTTGAAAAGATATATATGCACCCCTATGATTACTGCAACATTATTTACAATATCCAAAGTATGAGAGCAAACCAAGTGTCCACTGATAGTTGAATGTATAAAAAAGTGATATATATATATATAAATCCATTTACAATAGAATATTACTTAACTATTAAAAACTGAAATCTTTCTATTTGCAACAGTATGGTTGGATCTAGAGGATATAATGGGAAATGAAACAAGGTGGTCAGAAAAAGACAAATACCATATGCTGAGGAGCCTGAAATTAAGTCCTCCATTAAGAGCAACCTCAGGCTGCAGGTAGCCTCAGTTCCAGGGAAAGCTTCAGCTGAAGTCACCCTCAGATCAGCCAATCAAAAGAAATGTGTAACATTCCTGTGGTCTGAGTCAGGGCTGGAAACTGCAGGTAGTTACTCTGTACAAACCAATCACTCACCGCTTGCCTAAACCCCACGTAGGCCCTTTGGGCTCACCTCATAATTGGTCGTTTTCAAAGGATTCTCAAAGGTCATGATTGGGTCCCACCAAAAGTAACAGACGCCTCACAGACACTGAATGGTCACAACTGTTACCATAGATACTGTACAATTATGACTGGTGCTTATGTGATGATGCTATACGTACAACATGTGCACTGTAACACCCCCGTCCCTTACCTCATAAAAACCCTGCTCACTATTGTTCGGGGCTTCACCCTGCTGCCGCTGAGCCGGTTAACAGGTGAGCCCCTGCTCTAGCTTGTAATAAAGACCCTTTTGTACTTGCATTGGTGCTGGCTCCTTGGAGGTCTCTGGGGACTCGCAATTTGGGCATAACAGTGCTTTCACTCATATGTCGAATTTAAGAAACAAAACAAAGAAAAAAAAAAGACAAATGAAAAAACATACTCTTAAATATGGAGAACTGGTGGTCACCGAAGGGAAGGTAGGTGAGGGTGCAGATGAGTTAAATAGATGAAGGGTTTAAGGGTACACTTATCATGATAAGCATTGAGTAATATATAGAATTGTTGAATCACTATATTGTACACCTAAAACTAATGTAACACTGTATGCTAATTATACTGGAAATATTTAAAACAGGTAAATACATAAATTAACTGAAATTCTGCTTGCTTGATAAGGCTACTGTAAATATTCCTTTTAAATAGTTTTATAGGCTCAGGTATGACACACACATAATATATGCACATAATCATACATATAGATTGGTGTGTGTGTGTACATTATCATTTAATATACATAAACATATGCATGTATTATGTATATGTATATTAGTGCTCCATATTATCTAAGATTTGGATAGTCTGCCTTATTCATTTAAAACTAAACTGTGCTATAGTTTTATTATAACTATAACAATTCTTTCCTTAAAAAGAAGACCACAGCCCAAGTATGGGGCCCCAAATTTTAATTATTCACATAGGATAGATTCTTGAAGGAGAACCACTTAGCCATAGGGTATATATTTTTGCTACTTGTTTTTCAGACAGCTTTATATCTATTCTATTGAGCAGAGGATGAGACTGACTATTTCATTGCAGCTTTCCAGCACTGAATATGTTTGGGGTTTTTTTCCTAATATTTGCCTATTTTATACACACAGGGAAGAAAGATATGTATCAATTTTAATTGCTCATATGTTATTTCTTGAACATTTGAACCTGGTTTTATTTATTAGCAATTTGTATTTCTTCATTTAAGTCCTTTGACTACTTTTCTATTAGTAAGATATATTAGATATTAGATATAAGATATTAGTAAGATATTACTACTCATCATTACTCTTCATGTAATAAGGACAATAATATATTAAGGCTATTCCACATATTTATTGCATGTATGTTTTTACAAATATTCTATGCTGTGAAACTTTATAAATAGTCACTAATAGTTTTTCTTATGGGTCAAAAAGCTTAAAACATCTGCTAACAGTCTTGAGAAGTGCTGTAGTGCTCTGTGACCTCCAGCAAGCAGTTCAGCAGTTAACTTATCATTCATATTCACTTGAACTCTGTATATTCTGAATCTACAGTTTCCAGGACCACTTCAGGAGCTTGTTCCAGGCCCACTTAATTTCCTACTGCATGGATCTGCCTACTTTCTTCTTTGAAAAGCCCGAAGGAAAGTCAGGGTCAGACCAATGAAACAAAATGTTGGACCTAGCAGAAGTTGGGAAGTTTGGTTTGTTGATGACAAAATAGATTGTTTCGTCCTTTAATGAATACAAGTAATGGCAAGAACTTTAATGAATCCACATCCTACCAGGAAAAGTCATGAAAGTTGCCTTAGGGAGGTCAATTATTTTTTATGTCTTTTTAGTGTACGTTTTATGGCTCTGTATGGCTGGATTAATTAGCACAAGGACTATATAGGAAAATGACATGAAAACAAGCTGTTTTACCTAATGTGAGTAAGCATGACAAAAAATAATTAAAATGTAGTCACTTCTTGAATGTTTTCAAATATTATTCTATTTTAAACAAAACTACAACTGCAAATTGCATGATATCATTAACATACATTATTGAACCTTTATATGTCCCATTTATTTCTCATGGCTCAGAATTAAACTTTCATTTGTCCTCTGTTTCCTGCCTATTTATGACTGTACAAGGATGTCTTATGATTTCTTTTATCTTTCATTGAGATTGTATATAATTAATCTCCCACTACTTGGTATGATTACAACCTCAGAACTATAGAATTATATATATGTATGTATATGCATATGCACATACACATATATTCATATTAAGTGGCATGTAATTTTTCTTAATGGCAACAATTATATGGCCAAATAAGACACATTTTTTATGGAACTTCTAATCACTTCTATGTGCATTTTGAGCATTCAAATCCACATACAGAGATTTTGAGGTGCTAGCACCAATAACCAAAATCCAGTAGGCATACATGATGTATCTCATAGAATCACAAGATATCTGACAGATATAAAGTGCAAAGTTAGGGCCATCTTGAACAGCCTTTTAAAAAATGAAAGGTTTCATATGTCCACTGAGTAAATCCTATGAACTATTTGCTCTTCTTTATAAGAAAACAATAATTAACATTCAGTGACCACTTTCTGCATCAGAGGGTTTTCTTATTTGTAAGCACTTTAAGCAGCTCTTGCTGGGGTAAGCAGAAAGGGAGTTTATTAAGAGATGTTAGGCATTTCACAGAATCATTAGGAAGGCTGGGAACTAGACCAGATGCTAAACAGAGGAAAAGTGCCCCAAACCTTATTTTAATGACCAGTGCTAACATACTGGTATATATTGCCTAACACCAGGCTTTCCCGTAATAATCCCCAAAGTGCTTTTGGTACGGGATCTGCTCCTTTGTTCCAGCTCTTCCCACCAACTCTTGAAAAACAGCTTTCCTTTTTTTTCTTTCAAGTTTTGACTGCCAGCAGCTCATAAGCCCTTGTTGGCATGATCCCGCCCATCACTGGAGCCCGAGTCACCAGTTGTATACTGTTTCCTATGGAGGCTTCAGAAGCAAGCAACTAGTTTTGTAAACTCCAATGGTGGGAGACAGTTTGCGGCCCATTAATAATCACAACATACAGAAGGCCCAAAACACAAAATGTAGGCCTGATTTGTCAAAAGCAATAAAGTCACACATCCATCAAAATGTCCATGTGTCAAGCACTGTGGTAAAAGCTTTGTGAAAAAGACCCAATTTTCTGTTCTATATGTGGGAAAATGGAGACAGAAACTACGTAATTTGTCCAGGGTCACAAGGCTAATAAATAGTACTATCAATACTCAAACCAAGACTTCCTAAAGCATTATAAAATCTTTACAAAGGATTAGAAAATCTTTCCTTAGCTATGTCCTTCAGAAACAAAGACATCATTAAGTGTCATGTAATTTTCCTTAATAGTAGCATTTATTATATGACAAAATTATTCATATTTTTATTGAACTTCTTCTAGTCACTCCCAAATGCATTTTGAGCATTTGAATATACATACAGAGATTGTGAAGGCAACATTTAATTCAAAGTGATTAAGTTCATGGTAAGAAATAATTTTTGTTTTTCTCTTAATGAGTCACGTGGATAGATTTATGATTTTTAAGAAATGAAGTATTTATTTTAGTTAAAGGTAAGAAAATTTATACTTGTAAAATAAATCATGTGTTTATAGAAGAAATGCCCTAAGTTAACTATGCTAAGTGATTCCCTTACTAATTACCATTGAACCCTAAAAGGAAGTTCATCAAATATTCATACACATTTGCCCCTTTTCCAAAATTGTAATAAAATCATAAGATATCTCAGAAACTATCATAACACTGTGATTAAATGCCCATTTTTATTTTAATGATAATGTATTAGATCTGCAAATAGAAAATAAAGGTTAAACATGATGCAATATTGACTTTTAATAAAATGTAGTGATTCTAATGGTAAACAAAGCATTGGTCTATATTTGATTGAAACCATTCTCTGTAACTACATAATCTCCCCTCCCCTTATTATGAGAAGCATTACAAGTGACTATGCAGGAGATGAAAAACGAAAATCTATGGTAAAGGTAATGATCTTTGAAAATTTTCTCTAATGAGTAATTTGTGGCTCAGTGGATTTCAAGAGATTATTGGTTTTGGAAATGGATTCTATCAACTAAGGAGATAATGAAAATCATTAGGGCTGAATAAAATCAAACAGCAAATTTGTAAAGCACACTAGCATTTTCCAAGTCTCTAGTTTGCACACAAGTTGAAAACCTTGTTTAAAAACACAATTACAAAAGTTATTTTACATAGGCCAGTATATTTATTGTTATATAGTGAGTTTACATTTATAGCGAGGAATAATATTACATCGAATGCTATCTTTGAACATACATTTTTTAAAACCAGAAATTTAGGACATTATTATATAACACTAAAGAGCATGTCATCTCCATGTACTTGATGCCAAGTAATTATAATTCATATATAGATTATATGAAAATAGATTGACTCAGGGAATTTATGTATCATAGATTCAATACAGAAATAGCTCCCGGTATCATTTCAGGATAATTTGCTTGACATTCTAGACCAAAAATTCTTAACCTTTATTTTTCCTCGCACACTCCTGTCTGTTCTACTTGTATCCTCAGGCCTTAGATCAGTGCCATGTACACAAGAGAAAGGCAACTGAAATGTGTTGAAGAATTATCTGAATGAAAAAATATATATATGTATACATACACATATACTTAAATTACAGAAGCTTGAATTGTATCAGATTTAAATTGTTACCATCACAAACTCCTTAAAATAAAAAAATGTATTTATATTAATGCATTACATAAAGAATGGATTATACTAAACAAGATAATAGTTTTAAAAGCTTAGTTTGATCATTTTTAACAATTAAGTGAAAACCGGTTAGTAATGAGATTCTTTGTATTTTAAAGTTTATTTATTTTGAGAGGGAGAGAGCACAGGAAGGGCAGAGAGAGGAGAATTCAGAAAGAGATCTGCACAGTGAGCACAGAGCCCGACACACGGCTGAAGCTCACAATCTGTGAGGTCATAACCTTGGCCCAAATCAGGAGTCTGGCACCCAACCAAACTGAGCCAGCAGGTGCCCCTTTTCCTTTCTTATTAATGTGTAATCAATATACAATGTTATATTAGTTTCTGGTATGCAACGTATTCATTCAACTGTTCTATACATTACTCAGTACTAACCATGATAAGTGCAATCACTATACAACATTATTACAATATTATTGACTCTATTCCCTATGTGGTACTTTTCATCTCTGTGACTTATTTTATAATTGGAAGTTTGTACCTCTTAGTCCCCTATACAGTTTTTCATAATCATTTATACTAGAGGATTCTTTTTTTTAAATGTCTATTTATTTTTAAGGCGGGGGCAGAGAGAGAGGGAGACACAGAATCCAAAGCAGGCTCCAGGCTCTGAGCTGTCAGCACAGAGCCTGACATAGGGCACGGACTCACAAACCGTGAGATCATGACCCGATCCGGAGCCAGACGGTCAACCAACTGAGCCACCCAGGTGCCCTATAATAGAAGAATCTTAAACAGGCCATCGTGAAAATGAAAAAACTGTGGGCACATGGGTGGCTCAGTCGGTTAAGCCTCCGACTTCTGCTCAGGTCACGATCTCACGGTGTGTAGGTTCAAGTCCCACATTGGGCTTGCGCTGACAGCTCAGAGCCTGGAGCCTGTTTCAGATTCTGTGTCTCCCTCTCTTTCTGACCCTCCCCTGCTCACGCTCTGTCTCTCTCTGTCTCTCAAAAGTAAACATAAATGTTGAAAAATTAAAAAAAAAAGAAAATGATAAAACTGTATGTGTGAATCATTATATGAAACAACTCTAGTCAAACCAGTGCTAAGAAACAATAAGATTTTAAGTGAAAGCAAGTTTTGAATATTCTAACTTTAAAAATAACACAAAGGGGTAAGACAAAGAAAAAATGTGATAGAATAAGAAAAGTACAAATTATGAGTATATGGATACATGTGGCAACTTACTGGTATATATTCTGTCATGAGTCCCATAATTATCTTTATAGATCTTCTTGCTGATTGATGGCCATCAAAAAAAGAAAGAAACCAAAACTGTTTCTTATTGTCTTTATTAAAAGAAAAATGTTCATTTAAAACAGTGGACCACCAGTGATTAGAAAAATACTACTACGGTTTTATAGAATTAGCCTTGAGATATTTTGATAGTAAGAATTAAAGAAAAAAGACATTATTTACTGACATTACATTAGAGAGTGTAATGTACTATGAAATATTATGTTTAATTTTGTAAACAAAGAAACCATAGCACAAAGTGCTTAACAAGGATGTCCAGATTCTCACAAGTCACAAATAGTGATGTAGGTTTTTTTTTTTAAGTTTATTTATAAGACCTAAGATGTATAAGACTTAAGAGAGGGAGACACGGAGAGCATGTGCAAGAGGGGCAGAGGGACGGAGAGAGAGAATCTCTGTCAGCACAGAGCCTGATGCAGGGCTACCATTGATGAACCATGAGAACATGACCTGAGCTGAAATCAAGGGTCAGACACATAACTGAGTCACCCAAGTGCCCAAAAAGAGTAGTTTTAACTCTAGATCTATATTCAAAGTCTGTTCCCCTAAAAAGAGAAATTCAAAGATCTAGCACAAATTTCAAGGGTGATTTATATTTATATTTATATATATATATTCTTGAAGTAGATTCAGAATTTTGTTTTGTTGTTGTTGTTGTTGTTGTGTGGGTGTGTCTGTGTTTATTGTTGCTGTTTTTATTCAACTACAGATTCAGTGATACTTTGAAAGAACATTTTAATCTAGGTCTAGTCTTAATTTGCAAATATGTGAAAGGTGTTCAAAATCTGAGCAGCATATACTAGGGAATAATGACCAAGTCCTAAAGACCTGATTTTCCTCCCATTTTAGCCTATTTAATTTTTATTCATTTTGTGCTATTTTTCATAATTCAGTCACTTCATATATCGATTCTCTCATTTAGGATCTATTTGCAAATATCTATTATTAACATGGATACTGTGTTAGACTCTGGGAATACAACAGTAAAAACAAAATGAAACAAAACAAAGCACTTTCGCCTGCAAGGACAAGCAAAATGGGAAAATAATAAAAGTAAATGGAAAACTATACTGTAGCCTGAGAATTGTAAAGATAGATTTATAAAGGGTGTGTCCGGAATCCATAGTAGGACTATCTTAGCTAGTTAGAAAGAGCAGGGAACTGTCTTTGAGAAAAGTAGTATCTGGCAGATGAGTCACATCTATCAAGACAAATTAAGCGGGAACAAGAGTTGGAAAGTGGGAGTAAGTTATAGGCTGAGGAATGATACATGCAAAAAGCCCTGGCTAGTGAAGAGAGGTGAAACTAACTATTTATCTAAATTTGAGATCACAGAAATCCTCAGGGCTTGATAGGAGATGAGATATGAATATAATCATAAAGGTAATTTTAAATTAAGCCAAATTTATAAATTTGGACTTTATCCTGAGGAAAAAAAAATAACTTTGGTCAGGCAAACTACTTGCAGATTGAAGTCAAGAATAACGAGATTATAGATAAGAAGGTTAGTTAGGAAATTCTTTACAGAAAACTGGATAAAAATCAATGGTAGCTTGAATTAAAGTAGCTAAAGATAGCAAATCCTTTTGTTCCCAATCAAGTTACCAACTTGTACCTATGTTTGTATTCCTTTTAAAAGTTCACTTCAAGGGCACCTGGGTGGCTCAGTTGGTTAAGTTTCTGACTTCAGCTCAGGTCATGATCTCATGGTTTGTGGGTTTGAGCCCTGCATCGGGCTCTGTGCTGAATGCTTGCTCAGAGCCTGGAGGCTGTTTTAGATTCTGTCTTCTCTCTCTGCTGCTCGCCTGCTCACGTTCTGTCTCACTTTGTCTCTCAAAAATCAGTAAATGTAAAAAAAAAAAAAAAAAGAATAAAAGTTCACTCAGACCTAATCTCTTATATAGAACATATTAGGACATATTTTTTTCTTTAGTTATGTTAATACAAAACATTTTACAATCCTTAAGAAGAACATGAAGGATATGATGGGTATTAATGATATAGCACATACCTTACACTATTAGCCCAGTGCTACTTAAAGTTTGAAGACTAGCACTAATTAGCATCAATTGAGATACTGTTAAAAATGTAAATTAATACATTTAATATGTACCCCAAAACTACCAAGAATTTCTAGAGGTGGGCCTATGATAAAGATAGGATAAAACAGGTAGAGAGGGAAAGATTAGGACCTGAGGTCTCTGGGTGGGGAAAAACACATATTTTGCACTAATGCTAGGAGAGTCTGATCATAACAAACATCCTCAGGTATAATCTTCTACTTAAGAATGTAACAGACATCACCTCTCAGCCTCAAGTTTCACTCAGGAATTTGACAAAAGATCTGACTAAAAATAAGCAGACCATAAAATGTTATGACCACAAGGAAAGGTATGGTGATAGACCACCCCTCATACAATGGAAATGAGCCAATCACGAATGGACAACC